ACCCCTTTCCCCATTGAAATTTAGTCAGCCTGAGTCTTTACTTTAGTCTCGCTGACATGGATCACTTCTTAGCTTAACTTCAAGGATCAATGATATTTGCTTATTTTTACACAGAGGTATGTCCTTTGTAGCTTAAAAATGTGTTACTTTTCTTGCTACCTACAACCTTGTACAAAAGCAAACTAGAATTGGACTAATCTTTTTCCAACTTGATTATCTCTGTTAGAGTAATCCAAATGTTTGTATGTGGTTTGTATAACTTTTTGTTTGTTTTAGACTTTGCTCCAGATGCTTCTCTCTTCTTTCTCTCTCTCTCTCTCTCTCTCTCTCTCTCTCTCTCTCTCTCTCTCTCTCTCTCTCTCTCTCTCTCTCTCTCTCTCTCTCTCTCTCTCTCTCCCTCTCTCCCTCTCTCCCTGTGTGTGTGTGCTGGGGATTGAACCCATACTCTTACCACTGAGTTCCTATACCCCCAGAATCAATCTTTCTCACTTCTGATACCTTATACAACATATTTGAAATATTTTCATAGAATTTATCAATTTACAACTTTATTGTGTGTGGTTTATACTAGCACATGCCTCCTCAATGCAGAAAACCACAGTTCTGTGTTCTAATATAGTAGAAGTTCAATTAATATTTATGGCAAAATGCCACTATATGATATTTTGCACACACGCATATCCATTTCTTTATTTTAACGTGATGTTTATGTGATATCCTAGTAGATCAGTGCTACCAAACAGTATCAGCTGTTCTTCCACTTTCATAGTTTACCAAACTTGCTTATTTCCTGGTTCTTTACACTGCTGATCTCATCACTGTTGCCACACAAAATACACTGTCTCAGTTATTTTTCTCTTGTTGCTGAGACAAAATACTCAACCCTCAAAGTTAAAGGAGGAGAGATTCATTTAGCTCACAGTTCGTAGAGGTTTCAGTCTCTAGTTGACTGGCCCCATGGCAGGATAGCCCATAGCAGAGTGGCGTCACAGAGAAGGAACAGTTCATTGCAGAAGACAGCAAAAAGCAACAAGGGTCCCTCCCAGCATTTTTTCCCCCTTTTTATCTTATCCAGGCTCCTTACAGCAGGAAGTGCTCACAGCTAGCAGCCTTGAGCCTAGCCTTGCACCATGAATCAATCCCAGCATCACACACTCTACATCCAGTTTCCTCTCAAAATGTCTCACCCATGACCGACCGCCTGAGGCCTTGGGCGAACATCTAAATATGAGCCATAACGTACATCAAACCTTTCCCAGTCTTCGTTTCACTCCACTGTTTTATGCTTCATCTTTTGTCTGAAGCCAATAACAGCACTGTTATTTATAGCTGCTCAGAGCTCAGCGCTCAGACTGTCCAGTAAAGACTGAGTCTTCGTAATCTATTGACGATCACTCTGGCAACTGAGTGGAAATAGACTTAACTTTGAATATTAACCAGGCAATATATAATATACTTTTCTTGCTTTTAACTATTTGAAATTGTAATAACCCTATTCAGGTCAGAACTACGATCTAATTTGGACATACAACTAATACATTTTGAGTTTTTTAGTATAATTAAATAAAAATTAAACAATATAGTTAGCTAATACTGGTAAATTTTTTCGGAAATGTATTAACTGATTAAAATTTGGCTCTATAAGAAGAGTAGATTTAGAATTAGTCGAAGCTAAAGTATAGTCCTGAATCTACAATTTATGAACTATTATTTTATTTCTTTGACATTGAGTGTCCCAGTTTGGAAAAGGGGAAGGATGAACTTCCTACCTCGGAGATTGTTGAGTTTGATGTGAAACAGCTACCGTAGTATAGTTCAATTGCATTTGCTTTCCACGCATCAAGACTACATTTTTCTCATGCCCCATTTTAATATCGCTTCCTCTGCCTTACTTGACTTCTAATAAGGACTTAAGGAAATGGATAGATAGTATTCCTAAACATACTTACTTTTGACTTTCAAAGATATTGATTTACAAACTAAATTAGTAACCATTTTGCCTCCATTGCTACTTTACAATATTGACAGGACTAATTGAACTATATGACAAAGGGGATCTCCAGTATTATAAGTAGTTCCATCAAGGGGAAGGAAAATTATATTTAGCACTACAAGAAAAAAGTGGAAAAATATTTTAATATGAAAAAAGAAAGGATGAAAATGGGGTTAAGAAAAAAATGATACCTTTATTAATACTCTTTGAGAACTGTTCTGAAGAAAATACAAGGACCCAAAAAGTACAGTTGCTTGATTTAGCTCCCACAATTATTTTTATTACAGGACAATGCAAAAAAAAAAATAAATACATGAGCAGCAAACTTAAAGGAAAGTAAAGGAATAAAGGAAGACAAGATAAAGGAAAAGGAGAAGTGATGGATCGAAAATTTCATTAGTGAAAAACTTGTGTTGACATATTCACATATTTTGTAGAAGATATAATGCCTAATGACTACACAGTTAAACAAGTGGACTGTTAAATGGACAAAGGTCCATTTATCTTTGTTACTAGAGAATTATTCTTAGCCTAGATGAATTTTGAGCATGGTTTTGTTGAAGAGTGCTATAATTAATTTAAAATAATTTAGTATTTGGAATACAACACAATTGCTACTTCTGAATTACATATAAATGTTATCTCTTCATAACCAAAAACTTAAGAATGTGTCAGTTTGATCATTTCATTAGTAATGGAAGTGTTGCTTTATTCTTTAACCACACGGATTTAGACATAGGATTGTTTTTGAACCAGCTACAGTACAGAATTTTAACTACCTTCATGAAGTAAGCAGAAATAATAATATAGATTCAAATTAGTTTGTGTTTGTATCTAGAAATGTCTATAATTTTCTCTTTTTATGATGTAGGATATAATCACCTAATCTTTAAAATAAATAAACATTCCTTAAGGACAAAATAATCTATTAAGAGGACACATTTATTCTCTGGTTTTTCTAAGAAGATCTGACAGAAGGAAAAATGTTAAAAGGAGAAAGGACGAAACATAGAATTTATGTACAATCAAAGAATTAGACCTGCTGTGTGGATTTATCCCATAAACTCTTTCACTTGAAAAATCATTCAGTTCTTAAACTGAGAATGAATAAGAAAAATGTTTTGTTCTGCTCCACCAAAAACCTAGGCATAAAATTTACTACCAAAAAAAGAAAATAGGGCCAGGGATTTAGCTCAGTGGTTCCGCCACCTGCCTCGAAAACACAAAGACCCAAGTTCGATCTCTGGTACAAAAAAAAAAAAAATTCAAAAAAAGAAAATAAAACTTTTCTATCTGGCTGCATGTTATAGATACTGAAAACAAGAAAGCTGGGTGTCAGAGACACTGTAGGTGTCTGAGATTAGAACTGTAGTGTCAGTGCTTGAAAACAGGAATTTTGTTCAGACACACTGAAGACTGGGGCAGAAACAAACAGAATATACCTGAATGCAGTAATTTCAGCCATCTATATTATTTCTTATTTAAACAGTGTCTAGTTTTTTAAAGGAAATCATGTGAAGAGTTATTTATTCTCCACAAGCCTACTTCATAGCAAACTGACACCCAGCTTAAACGAAAAGAACCTGCAATTTATTTGTTTTGGTGGTTGTTGTTCCAGAGCTACTATTAGAAAGAAGAGGCATTTCTGAATACTTATCAAGTAACCCTCCCCCCTCCCCCAAGAAAGAACTTTTTAAATAAAAAGAAGTTAAACACCAGTGTGCTCCCTCAGTGTCAGACTCATTGCTAGTAAATTATTTTCTTTGAATGTTGTACAGCATGAAGAACTAAGAAATCAAAAGGTAATTTTTCACTTTAAAAAAGTCTGAGTTGGAAGAGAGAGGAATTCTTGAATGTAAAAGGAAAAATGAGGTTTCAAATAACTGTTTTACCCTACTCAAGTAGGTCACTTTGCACAGTGGTGAATCTTAAATGTTAGAAGGAAAGCACCAAAGAGCTCCTGCATGAGAAGTAGCAAAACAATAAACTAGCTCTAAGGAGAGCAGTAGGAAGTGAGTGATAAATTTTGAATAGCACACATTACTGAACTCTATACGTCTGAAGAGCAGAAAATCTCCACTCAAACAAGATAAAACAACTACCCAATTGCATACAAGAGTTCCGGAATATTTGATAGCGCAGGCCAGTGATAGGATCAGGACTGAGTGCGTGTTCGTGTCACCCACCTGCCAGCTTTTCCTTCTGGTTTCCTCTTCATGATGTTAGCAAAATGCCCATTTCAGTCAGTGCACGTATAGCCATCTCTTTCCACTTTTCTTAAGAACAACAGGTACATTTCTCAGCAGCATCCCGTCCCGCACACCCAAGCTGATTGCCCCTCATGACTCACCAGCCGGAACTGGCCGTTCCCTGCCTCCTGATACAGACTCTGTGGAGGAGAATGGGATTTCTGGGACTGAATTAGGTTAATCTGTGTCTACACTAAAGTGGAAGATCACCTTCTACTCTGTTACATGGAAAGATGCAGAGAAAAACAAAGGTGAAATTTTATTGGAAAGAAGAGAGGAGAAAATAAAAACCGTGTTGAACATGAAGGATATCTGCCTTTCTGTATTCCAAAATCCTGGAGAATTAAGTAGTGCAGACAAATGTGGAATACTTGAAAAAGAGAGCAAGAAGTAAAATTTGCCTCCAATGTTTTCAAGAGAAAAAAAGAATGCATGGAATTCTTTAAGATCCTGAGAATTAAGTTAAAATGGCAAAATATATTAAAATACAGCCTTTATCATAATGTTTCATATTGGGGAACTAAATAAAGCTTTGTAGAGACATGACAAGCTACCCAACTCTTAGGCAAACAAGAGAGAATCCAGGAACAATGGGTAACTTTTAAAATATTTTTTTAAAAAACATTTCAAACTCTTTCATTGATTAAACTTGCAGACATCTCCCTAGGTATCTGCCATAGCATTAATAAGTGCAATATTTAAATATGTGATAAAGGCTAATGGTTACATTGTTTTTCCCTTTTCTGCCTCCGGATTAGGCTTCTGTTATCAGTGGAACCTACCTTGGTTTGGATTACATGAGTAAGCAACATGGAGGTGAAGGTGGCGTCATTATTAATATGTCATCTTTAGCAGGTAAGGACAATTAACACGTTAACAGTAACATTTCTTATTGATAATTTGGATGGCAAAAGTAAGTCTTTTCAAGTAAATTTATCATTGACTCGGGTTTGAAATTGAAACATTGTTTAATTTTTTTTGTTTTTTATGAGTCTATGGAATTCACTATTTCATATTATCACAAATTTGAACTATATACTTATTTGCAGTCGCATCATTTTAAGTTATCTTACTGCAGCACCGTTTTACAAACTATAGATATATTTTTCCAGTTACTGGTTTTCAAAGATTACTGTGATACCCTGAACAGTAATGCAGGAGAAAGTATCTTTGACAAAGCAAAAAGAACTGAAGTAAAGTTAAGCTATCTCTATTTCTATATGATTTTATGAGTGTAATTTTTAAAAACATGCGTAATAGTCTGAATATGCTAAACTGCTTTAATAAATAGATCCTTCATGTCACAGTTTAAATGTAGTATGAGTTCATTCCTCTATCATATATCAGCCTAGGGTAAATCGCTCCTTGCAGGATTTCTCTACCGTATGCAGTCTGAAAAAGTTGTTAACAGGTATGCATCTTCAACAAGGTTGCTGTGGAACTGGCGGACTCCTTTCTCTTTAGTAGAATGAGAAAAAGAACATGTGACAGGCAGAGCTTTCAAAACCCCCAGCCCAGTAATAACAAACTTCACTTTGCTCACATTCCAGTACAGGACTTGATCTGATGGTTCATTACGTAAAAGTCTAAGAAATATATTCTTTCTAGGTGCCTAAAAACAAAATGGATTTCATTGGATAGTTGATCATTTTTGCCACACTAAAGACTTATGGACTGGTGCCATACAAATTCAAAGCTATGTTTCATTCAAAATAATGTGATTTAATATCAGCCAATATCTTACTCCTCAGTAGTAACTATAAACTTCTGACAAAAGTTTTTGGAACAACTTAGACTTAGAGTTTAAGAGAAAGGGATGGTTCCTAAAGAATGTAAGTAAAAAGAAAAAGAGAGTGTAAGTGAAATTACGAAGTTTAAATTCTGATTGACACTGACAATAAATCTAAATGATTCATGCAAAAAAATAGCAGTGGCTTCTTAGATTATTCAGTAGCTTTCAGTTTTTGTGGTGATTTCAAAATAGTAATCACTACTTCTCACCCCACTCTCCCAGCTCCAGTAGTATTTGGAGAATCAGGTAGAGTTATCTGTGACTGAATCAATGCCTGATTCTTGACGTTCTTCTTATCCCTCCAGGGTTCAAAGTCAGATGGTCCCAAATATGACTGAAAAGTTGACACTAGGCAGCTTTAGAAATCTCTTTATTTAGAAGTTCTGAAAAAATGGACTAGCATCTGATTTTCTGGGTTCCTTAAAGTCAAAATATCATTGCTAAAGCTATTACAAAACTAATTCTTTGAGTCATTCTGGATATTCTTCTTATTTTCCCTAATATGACATCTACTTATAAATTAAATTTCAATTCTAAAGATATATTAAAAGGTGAGAGCATGAACAATCCTTGAAAATGATATATGCTTTAGAGACAGCAAAATTTTAAGTTCTTAAAGGTTTAAACCCTAAAGGCAAAATGAGAAAGGTAAATTTATACTCTTTTAAAAGAAATGTATAATTGGAAAATTATGAGAATTATATAAATAGTTGCAGAATTGGCAAGAGATATTGAATATTTTCTCTAAAATGTAAATGTACAGAAAAATTGAAACTGTGTTCAAGGGATAATTCCATGGATACTTTCTATAAAGGTAATAGGTCCAGCAAAGTTTGGCAAACCAAGAATGCTATACAGACAGCCCGTTGTCTTTTTACCATGGAGGTACTGGTTACATCCTTAGGAAGTTTGGAGATCCTCAGGATTGGATGAATTTAGGACTTTCTAGGATCATTTCCTTACAGGAAGCAAGAATAAGATGTGATGTAGTGCTACTGCCTTTTATACAATTAATATGTTTGAATATATGACCAGGGCAGCAATTCTAGCTACTTGGGAGGCTGAAGTAGGAGTGCAGGTTTGAGGCCTGCCTTTGAGGTCTCTTAGTGAGACCCGTCTCTAAATAAAACAGACAAAAATTACAATAACAATGAACATATTTTGGGTCCTTAACTATTTACCTATATGTTAGATGGCATTCTATCACCATTATGAAATACTTGAGACAATTAAGTTCTAAAGAGAGCAGTTTATTTTGGACTCGTGTCTTGAAGGTTCTGACCCAAGATCAAGCAATTTGTGGCCTTGTACCTCTTGCAAGGGCAGAAAATTACAGCAAAAACTAGTGGCAGAGTGAACCTCTTACATCATGAGACAGGAAGCAGAAGAGAGGACTGGCAGGGTTACAGAATTCCTTGTAAGAGTAGGTCCCCAGTGACTTAAGGACCCCGTACGTTCCCACCTCTTAGAGTCCCCACTGTCTCTCAGTAGCCCTACCCTAGATAGAGATCCAGCCATTAGCACATGAACCTTTGGGAGGGTCTCAGGGTCCAAACTATAACATCCTGATATCCTATGAAACACTGGGCAAGCATTATCACGTTTAATCCTCATAAAATCCTATGAAGTAGATTCTGTAATCTCTTCAGTAAATAAAGCAGGAGAATTGAAGTACTTCACCCCGATTTACACAAGTACACAGCAAAACTGAAATTCACATTCACACAGCCTGATACAAGTCTCCTTAAGACTTATCCATTAGATTATCATTTTCTCCCATGAATTTATCTATAATATACTTCTGTCTCCAAGTTATTAGCAAAGCAGAAAGTAAAAGAAATTGACATCCTATGAAGTAAATAAGCCAGTCACTAGTCTCTTCAGGGTTTGGGGGCACTGCTTTAATCTCAAAGCTACATGACTGGTTAGATAAAATCTTAAAATTTTCCATGATTTGACAAACAGTAAAAACCTCAAAGCGTTTGGGGAGCTTACCAGAGCCACAAGTCAAAACATGCCATCGAGAAGAGCAATTTAAGGCTTCTCATTTGATGTTCGTTTTGTTTTCTTGGCAAAGAGCTTGTTTTATTACACACCTACCCTTGAGGGTTAATTCTCTTCCTTATCTCAAACACAATATTTGGAACCCTATTTAAGCCTTTGTCTATTCATGCAGATAAAAAAACAGTTAACTAATATAAATTCAGTGATAAGATTGTTTGAGTTTTACATTACCTTTCTGGCACTGTTACAATTGAATGAATATTATAGCATTCCTAACCATTACTCCCTCTGATTTTTTGGTATGACAGGCAAGGCAATCTTATTTCAAATGGTTAAGCAGTCTATCTTTGTCCAGTCTGCTTGGTTTGTGATCCTGTCCATCTTCAAAATCTGTCCTTGGCATGCTCTGTGTAATGCTAACCTCCACACCTAGCATGTCTGTACTGTTTCCTTGTTTTCACTGGCCAATTCACCTTTATTCCCACCAGGACTTTCATTAACATGTCTACATGTCACAGATCCTTATATATTTTTCACTAACCAAGAACTTCTGTTCTTCATGTAATGGCATTGCTTTGACAGAATTTTAGAGTTTTACAATAATAGATAAAGATAAAAGAGCACCTCTCAGTTTTCATCATTTTCTTAGAAATGTATCAACAGTTTATGCCCTGGAGTCATAACACAGAGGTACAGGTCAGAGGACCAGAACAACTGGAGGAATTATCAAAGTCAAAATACTTCCAATATTTCCTTGCTCTGTGTTTTCTAAACTGTTCTTTTTTGCAGATTTTTCTCTCCACACTCTAGTGAGGGCATAGCCATGGTCAATATTCAACTGTGGTCCATCCTCCTGCTCTGTTACATGGACTCCGAGAAGTCCTTCACTGTCATAGTCAAACTTTAAGTTGACACACTGGTTGGGTCAGAGAAGTAATTAATGAGTAATGACCACTGATATAGGCAGAGTTTAAAAGGAAATGAATGGGTTGACCAAGCAGAGGAATAAAGTGGACAGTGACTCTTCTGCATACTGAGGGATGAGTGTGTCCCAGTCTAGCACTCCAAATTGTTGTGATCATGGTTCACCACACAGACTCTTCTATTCAAGGTTGTGTTTCTAAACACAATACACAAACAAGTACTCATTTTGTCACATTCCTCGCTTGTTATTAAAAAATAAATTGGAAGGATCAACAGAGAAGAATAAAGTCTGGCTTAACACAGATAATTAAGCAATTGTGAACCCATAATTCATTCCATATGAGTCAAATGTGTTTTTGTCACCAACTAGCATAGATTCCTGCATTAGGATAATAAAAACAAAAGCAACACATCTGTAGAGAAAAGCTTTAATTTCCAAGTAAGAAAAATAAAGGGAAATACAGCTATGGTGAATGATGATCAAGCCAGTCTTATAAAAAAGGAAACTAAGAAAAAACAGGAAAAGGCTGTAGGTTGAGAAAGCCAAAGGGCCACTGTCCTGAAAAGGTGGGTCAGGCTATCCCACATGGGGTGTTTTAGTGGACTGGATGGAGTTCTGTCCATGAGTAATCATCTCAGTCCTGGATTTGTAGCTTCCAAGAACCCTATCAGTTGAAGAGCAACATGAATGATTTTGCTTAGGAGGGTGATCTCATCATGGGGTTGTCTGCCAGGCTCTGTTTTTCCTGGGGCACAGGTGACTACAAGGTTAGGACAATGTCTACAGGCTTCAAGGCGTTGCTCCAGAGAGGGATCTGGAACTGGACACTGAAAAAAGTAGCAATCAAATGTTCCTGTTAATCCTGAAAATTGCTTTAGTTATTCTTGGTGTCCTCGGTCTTGAAGTGGGGTTGGAATAGGATAGGTAAATTGGAGGTTGATACACCTTATTTTGATTAACATACCCATTTCCAAAGTTTTAAAATAATGAAGGATACAAAATGAGGGTTGAGCATTGTTTTGCTTTTAATTACCTATTGGGCATCTGTAGGCCAAAGTGAAGAGTAATAGTTTTGAGCAAAAACTGCTTTTATGCGCTTGTCTACCTCAGAAGAAAACATAAATCATGTTTTTA